ATACATACATACATACATATATATATATATATACATATATATATATATATATATATATATATTGCATACATATAAAATTAAGTTAATTAACTATTGAATTTTTAAACTCACTTCTTCAATTGAGATCGGAGGATAAAATTTACGTTTTTAACAACTTTTAAATGTATTTACATGCTATAAGTTCATTGTATATTTTTTAATTTTAAATTCAATCCTATCATAAGATAAATTTTATTAATACTTATATTTGTCAGTATGTGCGACATAAACTAGAAGAGAAAACAAAAGAACTAAACTTTTCATCTAATAATTAAATGAAAATTAAAAATATTAAATGTTAAATTATAAATAACATTATAAAAATAATCAAAACTATATTGAGATAGAAATTGAATGCTAGAATAATTATTTGCTTGATTATAATAAATGTTTGAATTTATTTATTTTATTTATGGCCCATTTAATTTAAAGATTGTAACAAATATCTCATGAGTTTTTTTCATATGTTTGATTGGTTATTTGATGGACGGTCAAGATTAAATCTCAGCCTCTATAAATTGGTCATCCCACTCCACTCACTAGGGTTATGATATAGTTCTTCAAAAACTTTTCGGCCGCAGACAATTGTGATAACATAAGGTTAGAACAAAGAGGTACTTTGAAAATGACTTCAGGTATGTTTCTATAACGTCTCTTTATAAATCATCTTGTTTCAAATCCTAACTTGCATTAAATTTATGTTTACAACAAATTTTTAAGGTAAAATTTTATAAATGTGAATATTATTAATCGGGACTCAACCCCAACTCTCAACCAAAAACCTAACTTCCAAATTTGGACCAAACTCTAACAACAGACTTAGAAACAAGCTTTTGAATCAGAATACTACCTCGACACTCGACTCTGGACCCATCTTTTGAATTAGAATACGATCTTGACACTAAACATTGACGACAGATTTGAGATCCAACCCCAACTTCTAAATTACGACCAAATTCTGAATCACGACTTGGCCTCGAAACCTAACCCTACACTGAACTCGAGATCCAGAATCCAGACCCAAAATCTGAATTGGGATATGAATTTCAAACCATGACCTGACTCCAACACCTATTTGGGACTCGATGTAGAACCTCAATTCTGAATTGGAATTTGATCCCGATACTCGAACTCAAAGATCGATTCATAATACAAAATGGCACACTACTTGGGATGTATCCTCGACTCTTAACCAAAAATCCTATTCTAACACCTGACTCAAATCACTACCCAACCCAACCCAAAATTTGACCTCGAATGCTTAACTAGGATTTTTGACATACAAATCGAGAATCAACCCCAAGTTGATTCAGAACTCGAGAGTAGGGTCTCCAATCAAATTCGTAATTTTGGTCCTGAATTGAGAATCGTGATCCGAATTTCAAATAAGTATCAGGAATCGATAATTGGGATTTGATTTAGGGTGGGAAGTTGAGATGTGAGTTGGATAAAGAGTTTTTGGAAAAAAAATTCCTTATTATTTTTGGAGGTAAGTCATTTTCCATAATTTTGAGGAAACTAAATTTATTTGGAAAACTTTTAAGTCAAATGAACATGAATAATTTGAAATCATTTTGCCAGAAAATGTTTTCCTTCGTACTAAACACAAAACTTATGTCTCTATCTTATTTTTTTCGCCCTCTTTCAAGTGAAAGTTTATATAGAAATATAATGTATATAAGTTTCTATTATGATCTTTGTTTGATGTTTTATATCTTGTGATTTTTAGAAAATGGTGTTTTCTTCGCAGCTTCATATCCAACTTCAAGACAATCATCTCTTTTTTTATCACGTGGTCAAAATAGGAATGTAAATTTTCCTCCTAGGAAGAGGATTTGTGTTACTACAGCTTCTAAAAATTTTGAGCAGCGGAATCATCCTTCCATTGAAATCCTACTTGATGAATGCCTCTTTAAGGTATTCAAACATCTTCCCAGTGGAAAAGAGCGAAGTGTATGTGCTTGTGTTTCCAAGCGTTGGCTTACACTTTTAAGCAGCATTCGCAAGGATAAGATTCCAGAATCTAATGGCATAGAAGGTAAGGGGTCTCTTGTCAGGTCCCTTGTTGGTAGGGAGGCCACTGATGTCAGACTTGCTGCTATTGCCGTTGGAGCTTCAAATTATAAAGGTTTGTCAAAGTTATCTATTGGGGGTGACAATACTTGTCATAGTGTGAGTGATGGTGGTCTCAAGGCTATAGCTCGATGTTGCCCTACTCTGAGAGATCTTTCCTTGTCGAATATGGCTTTTGTTGGTAATGAAGGCTTATCTGAGATTGCTAATGGGTGCCATCTGTTAGAGAAGCTTTATCTTTTCCAATGCCCAAAAATTACCGATAGTTCTTTGTTGGACATTGCAAAGAACTGTTCTCACATGACCTCCTTGACCATTGATTCTTGTTTTAAGATTGGTAATGAGGTTCCCAAAGCGGTGGGCTTATATTGTCCGAAACTGAAGGTCATCATATTGAAGAATTGTCCTCTCATTGGGGATCGAGGAATTGAAGATCTCTTTCTGTCAGCAGGTCATAGTTTAACAGAAGTAGAGCTCCAGGCACTACACACTAGCGACATTTCTATAAAAATTATTTCACAACATGGAACTGCACTGACAAGTCTAGATTTTGGTGAACTTCGAAGAGTAGTAGTGAGGGATTTCTGGGTCATGGGCATTGGTCAATGTCTGCATAAGTTGAAGGCCCTTTCAATAAGTGCTTGCAGTGGAGTCAATGATTTGGGTCTTCATGTTATCTGTAAAGCTTGCCCAAATTTGAAGTTATTTTGTGTTCGAAAAAGTGTCGTCCTGTCAGATAATGGATTGGTTGCTTGTATCAAAGATTTGGTATCACTTCAACATCTTCGATTAGAGGAATGCCACTTGATTACCCAGGCTGGATTTTTTGGTATACTTTTGAACTGTGGTAAGAAGCTGAAGACTTTTTCCTTAGTGAAGTGTTTCGGTGTGAATGACTTAACCAATGCAATTCCTTCAAAGGCTCCTTGTTGTAACTCACTGGTATCATTGACTATTCGCAATTGTCTTGGAGTAGGAAATGCTACCATTGCTATAATAAGTAGACTATGTCATAGACTGACTCATATAAAGTTGATTGGGCTACTTTCTATAACTGACGAGGGGATCTTCCCTCTAGTTAAAAATTGTGCAGCTAATTTGGTGGCGGTAAATCTAAGCGGGTGTGTCAATATTACAGACATATCAGTTTCATATATAGTTAATAAGTGTGGGAAATCCTTGAAGTATTTGCTCGTAGATGGCTGCAAAAATGTTACTGATGCAACATTAGTAGAAATTTGGAACTCATGTTGGACGCTTAATGTACTCGATGTTTCCAAGTGTGGAATCACTGATTCGGGGATTACAACTTTGTCTAGTGCTATACAGCTTCAATTGCAGATCCTCTCACTGTCTGGTTGCCCTTTGGTGTCAGACAATAGCTTACCCTTCTTGCTCGATTTGACTCAGAACCTTCAGGGCTTGAACATACAGCATTGTCCCAACATCAGCTCTAAAACTGTTGATGCACTTGTAGAGATAAATCCAAGATGTGATATACTTTCCTAAGCAAGTTCTCAAGATTCATGTAAGGTCTTCTATTTGGGTTTTATCTAGACTTTTTAGCTTCCGCTACAGGAAAGCAGGGAAATAGATAGTTTTTCAACGTTTACTTTTATTTTCGAGCGTACATGTGTTAAATTGTATTTCCTAAATCATTAGACAACTTAATGGGTGTCATTGTTTCTCATTATTGGAGATTAAAGATAAAATTCTAAGTTGGCTTCTTTACATCAAAATTCATATTCATTTTGTCTTTACCAGATAAGTACGCAAGTGAAAGCCCACATATCATGCAAGGTTGTGTGTTTTAAGGGGAAAAGAGGAGAATTCCTATTTAAATTTTTCTCATTCCATGAATGCTCTGATTGCATAGTTAGAGTTATGCCAATAGAATTTGCACAGACTAAAATTTTCGCCTCTACTCTTTTCTCTATCTGAGAGTTAAGTTCAACGAACCCTTTTTATTTTGTTTCAATCATATATGTAACAACATTTAATTAAAAATTCTACTCACATTTGAGGAAAAGATTAAGTGAAAATTGTCCAAGGATCTTTCTGAGTAAACGAAGAAGAGCACATCTATATCTTACCATTTTCAGCATATACTAATCATTTAAAGTTTCACGTTTATATGTATACATTGTTGAGACACTTGATGACGTTTTACATGAACTCCTCATTTTTTCTTAATGCACACTTGTAAGCAAGCATGTTATAGGTGATGTCAACTTTCTTTGAATATAATGCTCCTATTGCATATTTAAATTTTGCTTATTTCCAGAATATAATGCTCCTATTGCATGGTTAAAGTTATGCAAATAGAGTTCGCGCTAAAATACTAAAGTTTTCGTCCCTACTCTTCACTCAATCTGAAAGTTAGGTTCATTAAACTCTATTTATTTTGTTTCAATCATACATTTAATAACATTTCATTAAAAATTCTAATCATATTTGAGGAAAGAATTAAGTGGAAATTGCCCAAGTATCTTTCTTAGTAAATAAAGAAGAGCACATAAGTATCTTGTTTTTTGTGCCTTACCATTTTCAGCATATACTAAACATTTAAAATTTCACATTTATATTTGATACAATGAGATGCTTGATGACACTTTACATGAACTCTATTTTTAATGCACCCCTGTGAGCATGTTAAACTCCTCCAAAGGTTTAAATCCGAGTGAACCTCTAATCTTAGATTTAGGAGATTTTAACATGAAATTTTTTTTTAAAACGCTAAATATACAACATAACTTATTGCAGGTCTCATTTCTTCTCCTTGAGAGATAACTAGCCTATTTCGAGCAAAATAATATTATTAGATTCAGAGTTTCTGTATCTCACAATATAATTTTAGGATGAGTATTAACAACTAAATCAAAGCAGAGTGATATAAACAATTCATTGTATTAGTAGTATGCTTTATGAGTAAAATGTTGTTTATACATTTGGTGAATTAATGATTTGATGAATAGTCATTGCAACAACCAAGAATTTTGAAACTGCATGAGAGCAGTGTCCCTAAAATTCTGTACTTTAGCTAAACAAAAATGGGTGCAAAACAATCCCATCCCAATTCCAGCACCAACTCTACTGGTTTTCAACAAATAACAAGCTGGTGAACATTCCATTCCTTTCCCTTGTACAACTACTCCCCATGCCTTTGTTATCCCTTCTCCTTCTTCCTCTACAAGTTTCTCATCCTCACCTCCAAGTTCTCCAACGAAGATAAGCCCATCTGGTGATCTCTTCTCCCATTCACTTTTCTTAATCGGCCAGTCTTCCTCCACCGCTCTCTCCGTCTTGATTCTCACTCCCCCTTTTCCATCCTCGCTGTAAATCTCAACCAACAACGGCGCTTGTTTCAAGTTCTTCACAATATCCACCACCGATTCATTCATCCATTCACCAATCTTCCCCGATAATACACCTTCCGTTTTCTGATCCTCTTTCACAACTCCGCCGCATGAATTTGATAAAGACAGAGAAGACGAAACACGATGAGGAAACGCCCTTCTCTTATTCTGCTTAGAAACGGAGAGACAAGTGTTCAATTTCAAATCAGAAACGGAATTGGGTTTGTTAAATTGAATCAATGAATGAGTTGTAGGGTGATTCATCTTTAACAATTCCATGTTTGATGAATCTGTAAACCGGAGGAATTAAAAGGGATTTAGTAAAAGGGGATTTTGGGGGGGCTGAATAAGAATGGAGTCAGATTTGATGTTCCGAATGAAAAGGGATTAGCTTGGTTTTTTTTGGAACAAGAGAAAAAAGAAAAAGCCTCACACATTTTAAAGGGTATTTAGGAGTACACGCCAAAGCAAATTGATAAAGAGTAAGAAATTGCCACGAACAAGCAATAGTAGGTGCGGACCACTATTAGTCAAAAATACCTCTATTTTCCCATGAGAGTATTGAATGTATTTTTTTTCACGCGTTTAAAATATGGAACAAATCAAAAGAAATAATTAATACTTTATGTTATGTAATTTTGTAAGATTTTGTGAGTGGTTAAAATGGGCACAAGGAGGATGCGTGGAATGAAGAGGTGGCACGCGCAGTTCGAGCAACGACACAAGCTTTGGAATGGATTGGTTTAAGATGACACACGCCTTTTGCGTGAATTGTGTGCTGACTGACATGGCGACGCTGACGTTTTCTACCTTAATTCTCATGACGTTACACATAATTAGATCACCAAAAAAAATCTTTTTTTTCTTTTTGAGCCTTTTAATTTATCCCAAAATATTATTTATTTTAAAATAAGGGTTAATAAATCACTTTTTAAAAATTCTTATCAAATTTTATTCGTTTTAAAATTAATTAATAATTTAATCATTTGAAAGTATCATTGGGATAATAAGTACTTTCGATTATAATACCAATATTTCTAAAATTTTGTACTTCACTAACATATACTACTTAATTAAAAGTTTCTTACGTATTTTATATTTAGATACATGTATTTTTGCTATTAAATACACAAAACTAGGAGAAGATGTAAGCATTGCAAGCAAGATTCGTATGTATCTCAGAGGCATGTGAATCACATTAAATGCATGTATATGTATGTATCTAGAGTGATTCACATGTATATGGGATACCAAATACATGGGAGAGTGGCGAGCGAGATGAGAGAGTTACGAGCGAGGTGGGAGAGAGGTCGTGGAAGCAAGCAAGATTTGTTATGTACCTCAGATACATGTGAAATCACTTAAGTGTAATGTATTTAGAATAATTTACACTTAAATTGTCCTTCATTTATGTGAAATACATGTATCTTAACGTATATGGAGGCACCAAATTCTTATAAAAATATTGCAAGCTAAAGTATATCTAAGATAAACTAGTGAAATTTATGTAAGTTCTCCTTATTTTTATTATAATTTTTAATTTTCTTAAAATAACAATCATCACAAAAATTATAATTTTTAATTTTCTTAAAAGAACAATCATCACAAAAATGAAAAGTGAAAGTGTAAAATGAGTAATTAAATGAAAAACATCTAATATATTATTGGAAGTACAGAATAGGATCAACAATATCTTTAAATTATTCGAAATAGATCATATTTATCCTTAAACTATATTTCGACTCAAAACTATCCTTTTCGTCAAACTATTGGGTCAAAATGTCTTCCTTATTAACGAAAGTTGTTAAATGTCATGTGGATGTCACATTGCAAGCCAATAGGATTTGTCTTCCACAGACTAAATGAAAATGGGTCAAAAATATCCATAATCTATCCAAATAGCTCATTTTTACCCTTAAACTATATTTTGGATCAAAAATACCCTTTCCGTTAAACTATTGGGTCAAAAGCACTTTTCTTATTAACAAAAGTTGTTAACACTATGTTTGGATCATTGTTATCCATTGTATTGTATCGTTACTATACCTACAATGTTTGTTTTGATTGTTACATAAAATGTATTGTATCGCATTGTATTGTTAAATTTGGTTGTTACGTAACAATGAAAACCTTTATTTTATGGAACAACCAATTTGGTGTGTTCCCATTGTTACTTAATTTCTTTTTCCAGTTATATATTTACATAATATTTCAAAATACTTTTTTACCCTTTTTCTTAATTATTTAAATTTAGTCAAACCTCCTACCCTAGAATAATTAGGATATTTTAGTAAATTTACAAATTACAATAAAGTACGATACAATTAACCCAAACAATTAAAATGTTATTAAACAAGAACAAATAATTCAGTCTAGCCAAACATTGTATCTATCATCCAATTAAGTACAATAGAGTACGATACAATACATTTTGAAACAATGGGTAACAATGATTTAAAAGTGTAAATGTCATGTGAATGCCACATTATTGCATGTCAATAGGATTCCACTACCACATAGACTAAATCTTAATTACTCCCCCCCCCCCCCCCCCGTCCTCATTTCATTATTTTCCAGAAATGATTTCACCCTTTCTCCTTCATTTCACAGCTAGGGCTTCGTAGTTTTCTTCATGGCTAGGTTTCAAAGTGGATATTTTTGGTTATAGGTTAGTATATTTTTTTTTCTTATTTTATTATGTTACGATTTCAAAGCATAAGAGTTATAATTTCACAATTTTTCATTCATTTTTCGGCTAAGGTTTCATAGCTTTCTTCGGGCTGGGTTTCAAAATGGACATTCGTGATTGTAGTTAGTAAATCTTTATTCTTATTTTATTATGTTTACGATTTTTAAGCATGATAGTTAGGATTTTACAACTTTTCCCTCATTTCGCGGCTAGGGTTTCATAGCTTTCTTTGGGGCTGAATTTCAAAATAGATATTTATAGTTGTAAACATAATAAAATAAGAAAAAAGATTTACTAACCTACAACCACGAATATCCACTTTGAAACCTAACGACGGAGAAAATTGTGAAACCTTAGTAGCGAAATAATGGAGAAGGGTTGAAATTGTTTCTGGAAAATAATGAAATTAAGGGGGGAAAAGAGTAATTAAGATTTAGAGATTTAGTGTATGTGGTAGTGGAACCCTATTGGCGTGCAATGTTACATTCATGTGGCATTTACCGTCAATAAGGACACTTTTGACATAATAATTTGACAGAAAGGGTAGTTCTGAGTCGAAATATAGTTTAAGGGTAAATATGAGCTATATATTTCGAATAGTCTAAGGGTAATTTTGACCCTTTTCCTTTTAGTCTATGTGGCAGTGGAACCTTATTGACGTGCAATGTGATATCCAGATGACATTTAACAACTTTCATTAATAAAAACCGCACTTGACCCAAAAATTCAAGGAGAAGGGTAATTTTGAGCCAATATTTAGTGTAAATATAAATTATTTCTAATAGTTTAAGTGTATTTTTGACTTTACCGTTGAAAGTATACTGGAGGGGAGCGGGGTCCTACTACTTTCACCCTAAACTAACAATATTTCTATTTCTAGTTTTTTCTTCTAAAAAAAATTATTGTAATTCAAAATTTTACTTAATTGTTTTCACTATCAAGACTACATAAAATTTAAAATAAGTCAAAAAAGTATATATAATACATGAAACACTTGAATACAACATGAAATTGCAACTTTAATGATACAATAGATAACATTCCAAAACAAGGATTTTTTGTGCTGCCGAAACAAGAAAGCATAAAAGATGTCTAATATGGAGGTCACATAAAATTTATATATATATATATATATATATATATATATATATATATATATATATATATATATATATATATATATAGAGAGAGAGAGAGAGAGAGAGAGAGAGAGAGTTGTTTCAGTTAATGTTGTTGCTGATTTTATAGCTGAATGAGGATGACAGATATGAGCATGAATACTGTTAGTTTTAATAATTTAGTTTAGTAAATTAGAGTTCTGTTAGAAAATAAATTCTTATTTGTTTTGTTTGTTCTAGTCTTTAGGAAGTAGTTTAAACGTGGGTTGTTACCGAGGTTTTAGGAGAAAATCTTGTTGGATAGCTACTATATTTTAGCTTAACGTTTACTATGTTTTTGCTGATTAGAATGACTGCATCGCAGATTTTTTTCAGTCAATAAAAAGAAACTATTTTCTATCAGTAATCTCTTCTTCTCTATTGTATTTTACTCACAGAACAATATATCTCTAGAATTTGTGTCTTTCCTATCAGTGCTATCAGAGCAAGGTTAGTTTCAAAAAGAAAACAGACAGAGATATTGTGAGTTTATGGCTTCAGAGACCAACTTCGTGCAAGCAGTCATTTCTCGTTTTGATGGTCATTATGACCATTGGAGTATGCTGATAGAAAAATTTTACAGTCAAAAGAGTATTGGAAAATTGTCGAGGGTGGCATCAGCGCTCCAACGGAAGTCGAGGATTTGACGAATGCTCAAAAGATGGAGTTCGAAGCAAGAAAGTTGAAAGATTTGAAGGCAAAAAATTACCTCTTTTAGGCTATTGAGCGTCCTATCTTGGAAACTATTCTTTGTAAAGAAACTTCCAAGAATATATGGGACTCCATGAGTAAGAAATATCAAGGCACTGCTAGAGTGAAGCGCGCATAGCTTCAAGCCTTGAGAAGGGATTTTGAGACTTTGTAGATGAAGGAAGGAGAGTCTATAATGATTTACTGCGCTAGAACGACGATGACTGGCAAAAAAATGCGATGAGAGAAGATAAACAATGTCGCAATTATTGAAAAGATATTGCGCTCTTTAACGCCGGAGTATGATTATGTTGTTTGCTACATTGAGGAGTCAAAAGATATAGATGAGTTATTGCTTGATGAATTCCAAAGCTCCTTATTGGTGCATGAACAGAAGATGAATCGAAATTCAACTGCCGAGGAGCAGGCCTTGAAGACTTCTACTTTTATTTCTTTAGAGGAAGGGGTAGAGATAGAGGAAGAGGAAGAGGAAGAGCAGATCGTGGAAATAGAGACGGAGGCAACAAAGAAGGCTGTGGAAATTTTAGAGCTAATGACTACGGTAAAGGTATAGGAAGGGATTTTGATAAATCCAAGGTAGAATGTTATCTTTGTCATAAATTTGGTCATTATCATTCTGAATGTTATACTAGGTTGCCTGATGAGAAACAGGAGAAGTCAAATTTCGTTGAGAACAAAGAAGGAGAAACTTTGTTAATGGCAGTTCATGTTGAAAAAAAGCCTAACCAACAAGCTCTTTGGTATGCGGATACCGGTTATAGTAACCACATGACTGGAAGTAAGTCTTCTTTTACTTATTTAAATGAAATCTTCCGATCGACAGTTAGTTTTGGTGATCTATCTACTGTGAATGTGATGGGAAAGGGTAATATAAATTTTAGAACCAAA